GTGGGTGTTGGTCTTTCTCCCAAGTAACAAGCAATATGGCAAGAAGAAATGGCCTCAAGTTGTGCCAGGGGAGGTTTAGATTGGACATTAGGAAAAATTTCTTCACCAAAATGGTTGTCAAGCACTGGAACAGGCTGCCCAAGGAAGTGATTGAGTCACCACTCAAAAAACATGTAGATGTAGCACTTAGTGACATGGTTCTGTGGTGGACTTGACAGTGTCAGGGTAGTGGTTGGACTTGATCTTAAAGGTCTTTTCCAACCTAAATGATTCTATGATTCTATGATTTAATGTTGTCATTGTTTGGTGGCTTGCACTTTGCTGCAGGTGACACGAACTCAAATCAATGGGAACAGGACACATCCCTCTTAAGGAAGAACTTAACCTTATGGATTTAGGCTTCTGTTTTGATGATATTGCTAAACTGGATTACTCTTATTGATGTAACAGGGCTTTTTTCTTTCTTTCTTTTTTCTTTTTTTTTTTACCTATCTGATACGTTCAACATCACTGTTTGTTGAAAATCATAATGACAGATAGCAGCTGTCATGTTTTCCACTTGGCTGTATAAAAGTCATTCCAGAGTATCCTGCGCTTGTAAAGGTGAGAGTCTGCTTTTCATTTGTGTTGAAATACGATGTACAGAATAAGTTTGAAGACTTGTTTGTGTTCAGCATTTTTTTTTTGTCATAAACTACATGAAAGACAGCCACTGTATTTACAATATAGCAGCATTTGAGAAAATACAACTAACAATTTCTGGTTTATTAATTAGGTGTTGCAATATTTTACTCTACAGAAGTTTTTTTCAGCCAAGCTCCCTGATCTGCGTTGATGATGTTTGTGAGCATCTCCATTAGCACGCAGAACTCTGTGCATGCTGTCGGACAGTTGTTCATCTCAAACAGATGGCAGCTTCCAAACCTGACTGTTCACCTCCATGCATAGACAGTTGTCCAGGTCACCAAAATGTTTCCTTCTACACACAGTGATGGAATGGGATGTATGGAACTGGGTCACTTGCCATGGGGTGCCTGCTGGAGATGATGTTGCCCCTGATCTTTCTCTGCCTCCTTTGCCTTACAGATCCTGACAGAGAACAGGTGACAAGGCTGGAAGCAGAAGCCACCATCCCTCCAGTAGCCTCTCCTTCACAGTCTCTTCTCGTCATGTCCTTACAAGAAGAGCAGGAAAAGTGTAAAGGTATGTTGGAGGTGTAAACTGCAGATGCAGATGAGTGAGGAACATTTCAAGAGCCAGAATAAAGTTCCGCATATGCCTTCACCAATCTGATTTTAGTGCACATCCTTAATTTGTTACCTCTGGCATAAGGCTGAGGAATTGTCAGGGGAAACCTGAGGAAGTAGTTTGAGGCTATACTCTGATTTCAGGGTTATTACACACCTGCTCTTTAGTTTAAGGTAAGCAGTGCAGCTGTGCAGCATAACATGAACAATAGGGGTAGGAGTGGCACAGGTGTCTTTTGATGTAATAGGAGGGTTGTAAGTAGTGATTAGGGCTGCCTGGACAGATTGTTTACAAACTGCATTTGCCATTGTCTAAACTGGGATTGTATTTGGATGACCTGGAGATTTGTAACTTCAGCTGATCTGCATTGTGAATGCTAATATGATTTGCTGTTTCGCTTTGTATAGATAATGGCCCCTGCAAGCACATCTGCAATATTGTGGAAGGAAATGTTGTATGCTCTTGTTTGTCTGGATATACGATCATGGCTGATGGGATTTCTTGTGAAGGTAGGTGGTTCAGATTCACCACAGAGACGAGGTTAAAGCACTTTAATATAGATCTCATTGATCTCCTACCCCTAGATGTTTCTCTAAGGGTTCCTTATTTTCAGTATTGTGAATTGTGAGTGGTAGTACAGAGACCATTTGGCAGAAGGAATACCAGATCTGCCTCACAGATAACTCCTGAAGCACATCTATCTCGTGGGTCTGTTACCTGGGGAATTCAGGTGAAGGCAAGACTGGATTTGTGCTCTTTTCCTCTGACATTGCAGGCCTCTTTTTCAGGCCTCTTGACTTCTCTTCCCCCTACTGTTCCTCACCAGGGTCTGTCTACACACCTTTGGACACGCAGCTTTTCTTCCTGAGAATGGGAGCAGCCAGCAGGACATGGGCATGTTTGCTGTCCTGAGGAACCCCCTCAAAGCTACAGCTCTGCCCTGTCACTTGTTTTGTTTGGTTTTATTTCTGCTTGCCTTGAAAACCTGAATTCAATGAGGCCTTGTTGCTACGAAGAATGTGCCATTGTGAGCTGGTCCAGCTCTGTGTGTTTCACTTGACACTGAAGCTCAGGCCTGCACAATGATGAACAGTGAATTCCAAAGCTGAATCATGATCATTCACATTATAGAAATTTAAATGGACATGTTTGCGTAGTGACAAAGGATATATTTGCCCAGGAAAGATTTGGGGATGGGAATCAATGCCCCATGACATACCTGTATGTGTGGGAGGAATAACACCCAGCATTGAAATGCAAGTAGAAGCTTCTGATGCTCAGAATTGCTCACAAGTGATCCACATTCCTCTTAATCTCAGATCTTATTGAATAACAAATTATTTTCATGAAGTTCTGGATAGTCTGTGAAGAAAATGGGAATTTAATATCATCAGATAACGTATTCACCATGCATTGCTTACTCAAGTGTGGTGGAAGGTAATTTGATTAATTAATGTCAGAATCAAAAGGGATGTTTCAAGGCAATCATTTGCCTACAGGAGGTGAAAAAATTCAGAAATGTCAGTGGAAGTAATGAGTTCAAATTGTAGCAAGGGACATTTATAATCTGTATTAAAGTATTTGGTGGTAAGGGTGGTAGTGCAAGGGTGGTGGTGCAAGGGACATTTATAATCTGTATTAAGGTATTTGGTGGTAAGGGTGGTGGTGCACTGGAACAGGTTTCCTGCAAAGAGTGTGCATTGCCTCTGCGTGACTGCCTGTTCTTAAGAATGGCTCTTTCTGCAATGACAAAAGTGTAGGGGTGCGAGCAAGGACTAGATGATCTCTGAGGGTTTGTTCCAGCCCTGTTTTCAGTGTAATGTTGTATATACTATAGCACGGTGCTGATGTGGTAGCTCCAGCACACTTCATTTAGACATCTCCAGCGTGAAAGAAGCGTCGTTTCATTTCAGAAATTGTTCTAGTAGAATTCTGTTTTTCCCTTTTGGTTGCAACATGTTGATATAGATTTGGATGAGTGCCTCACAGTGCTCACGCTTGTTCCAGAGGATAATTATGTGTGAATGCATTGGGATCATTCTACTGTGTCAACCACAGAGTGATCTGTGCAGAGGGCTTTATACTCAACAGGCATAGAAAATGTGTTGGTAAGATGATAGGTATAAGCCATTCACAACAGCATCATAATTCTTCATGCACTGCGATGCATTTAAACCATTTGTGCTAAAAGGCTCTCTGGCCATCTTTGCATATGACATTTCAATGTGAGTCAGTAAAACCACATGTGCACCATTTGCTCAGCCACTTAACATCATGAGTTGTATGCTATTTGGCTTTTTCCCTAGCAATACATTCTCAGGATATGTATAACGTTGTTCAAATGTCATAAAAGTTCATAGGTATGATGACCGCAGCAGTACTGATGGCTATTAAACTGGACTAAGAAAACTTAGTGGTCAAGCTGTCTGGGCAGTGTCAATACTGCCAAATCCCCAGACATCATGAAACAACAAAACTTCATAAATACAGCTCGAGAAATCTGCATAGGTCCGGGTAGTGGAAAAGATCCATTCCAAAGTGATGGAATTTTAAAATTCAGAATAGTCCTTGTTGATTCTGGCACAAATTTCTTTGTGTAAAAGTCAAAGATGCGTCATAATTCTGCTGTATCATCCCTGCTATTTAAGTTCATATAAGAAACCAATCTATTTTTACAAGTGTATTTATGAGGATTTAATTTGCTTCAAAGAGCCAAGGCCTGACTCTATGCAATAGTGTCTATTCGGGGTACTTTTCTAGAGGCTGGTTTAGGAGGCACCTGAGCTGCAGCTGTGTTGTGTGGTAACTCCTCGAAAAACGGAGCACCTGGAGACCTGTAGTCATTAATAAAAGCAACAGTGACTATAAAGTCATCTGTGACTACGGTCACCTCCTTCCACCCCTGTCCTTCTCCTTACATTTATAGCATTGTTTTTCTGACCATCACATCTTTGGTTTTGTTCCTCTTTTAAAGCTCTATGATCTCATCTTATTAATGAGCATCATATGGCATGAGGGCGTGAGCAGGAAAGCTTATACAGTGTCATGGTTTAGAGCGGAAAGGAGATTTACTATCTTATAGGTTTTCCTTAAATTGTCAAAATTGGATTTTTGTTTTTATTTTTTTATTATTTATTTTGGAATCAGAGATACTGGTAAGTATGGGAAACTAATGAAATTATTTAGTTTAAATTAAAAGTCTGAGAGAACACCACTGGAAGGAATGAAGGAAGCCTTCACAGAGAAAATACCAGATTATGTGATGGAAAATGGTATTTGTAGTGGGCCACAGTCTGCATGGTGTGTTTCATGGCTTTCACAGAGCCTGCTGCATGCACCACACTTCTGAGTATGAGGTCTGGTAAGTGAGCAGCTGAAAGAACTGCCTCACCATACTTTCTGCTTCTGAAAATCTTGCCGTTTAATCCCCCAATGTTTTTCCTGGACTATGCAGCAGGCATATGTCTGTCCTTGTGTATATCTCCCAGAAGCTTTTTGAAAATAAATTAATACATGTTTGTCAGCAACTTTTGCAGAAGGTGCTATAGAAGATGCCAAGTGCTTCCTTTTATTCATTACTTTTATTCATTATTCCTTGTTTCTTCCTGTCCTGTCCTCTACCCCGTGACATTATAACAGTTTTACTGTGCCTGATATAAGATAAACCTCAGGCATCATTAATAAAATGAAAGATGCAACTCTCATTTGTAAAGCTAAAAGATCCCCTTCTCCCTCACTAAATTCAAACCTCTGTATTTCTCTAATGCAAGCCAGGTTTTTGCAGGTATCCTTGTAAATAATCCTGAAAACATTGAAGTTTCTCTTTCTTTTTGGATAGATATGCCCTGTGTGCTCCTTACTCATATACGGCTCTGCTTTGTGTGTGATGCCTGGAGAACATTTGCTGTATTTCACATTTTTCCTACTGCTCTAGTCAAAGGGGAAAGCCACAAGCCTACTGTGGTTTCTGTTTTGTTGAACTGCCTCATTGCAGCCATATTTGCCTAAGGTAGCCTTTTCCAGCTTAACTGCTTTTGTGCTCCATCTTGAGCTATCTCAAACACCATGAGTAACTTGTTTGCAAATTGTTGTTGTTTTAAGGATGTTACTCTGCATATTTTAGGGACAGGAGGAACAATCTTTGCACAGCAACAAAAGAGATGATAACCTTTTATCTGTTGAATTTACTTTAGTCAAACTGTGGAAGATTATAATTCCAGGTGCATTCAAGAGCAGATAGCCAGAATTCCTGAAAGCCAACCATGCACAATGAAGAGTCACCAGCTGTTTAAAGAGCTTGCACACACCAGCTTTGTGTAACTTTGTGAACAGATATTAAAATGTCTTTAGGCTTAAAAGCTCCGTATTCTCCACAGATAAGAGCCAGGTTGAGTGTTTTAATGTGGATTGCCTTTCCTGGTGACTTTCAGGCAAAGTCATTACCACCGCCCACATGCACACTGATGGGAGAATACTTTGCTACTCCCGTCTAAATTTTCCCTCCTGCCAGAGCAAGCAATGAGCGGTCATTTTATTGCTGAACCATAGGGACTGTGCATGAGCACAGGATGGGTGGTTGCAAAATAACAACGGGTCTAAATAAAACATATGTATTCCATAAAACAAATTGAGCTGAAGTAATTTGAAGAGAAAAAAAAAAGATCATGAGAAAGTACATATGCAGGACAAAAAAGTCTACATTTCACATTTTTATAAAACTTGCAAAAAAATTAAGTTTTAATGTTGAAGTACATATTGAAAAAAAAAATAGCAGTAGGTAAATGCTGATATTCCTTTGCAAAAATGTTGGCTTCTTAGATGCAACAGATATGCTCAGGGATCATGTATATGTTGCTGTTTGCAACAACAATTCCAGGGAGAAAGAAGATATTATGCAATAACATTTCATTCTGGGTTTTGCTGACATAAAGTGAGGAATGCTGTTGCTACACACATAGAGCTAGTAGATTTCTCAACAATTAACTGTATGTCTTGGTTTTGATATGTTCCTGAATTATTTTCCCTCTCATTCCTAGTTTTTTATAAATATAATCTTACCCTACCTCAGTCTTTCTTGTGTTGGATGAAGACTACAGCTGCTCCTATGTTGGGAATTAACTTTGTTTCAATCTGAAAACATAACTCATGTTTTCCCTAGAGCCCTGTCAAGTATCTTACTGACTTGAGTTGGCTTCTAGTACTGAAGGGAGACAGATTATAGGCCCTCTTGATTTTATGGATGATCAACAGGGAGGTAAAAAGGAGAGAGAGATTGTACTGTTTTACAAAAATGTATTCAGTCCTCACTCCCCTCTGCCTTGTGCTGTAATGGTAGAGCAAAACGATAGTAGGTTGAGCCTGGGCTGAACAGAGCTAGCGCAGGAGCTTGTGTGCTGCCCCGGCACCAACTGGGACCATATTCCCAAAGGTGCCTTTTCCCACCCTCAAGCTAAGGGACACTGTTTTGCAATAGGTGTTGATAGTGAGAGTGTTGACATGGACTGATGGGAGCTCATGAGCAAGATGCTGCAAGTCTGAGATCTCATTTTGTGTCATGACCATTTAGGAGTTTGTTTAGAACAATGAACAAAAAAGGGCATGTCTGTTTGATAAAATGAAAAGACAGCTTTGGTGGGCTAGCAGTTGGCCTGGTTATCAGATGGAGATTCATGCCCTAACATTGGATAGGACAGAGCAGAGCCTTGCACACTGTGTGGCTCACAGTTTAAGCCTTGCGTCTCAGCCCAGGCCACAATGATTAGCCTTTAGAGATGTCTCTTATGCACAAAACTTTCAGTGAAAGCAAAAATTCTGCATGTAATCTTCCAGTCTCTCTAACTTGCTCAAATGCATTCTGGCCAACTCTGCTTATTTTATCAAGTACTTAGAAATTTGAAAACTGAATCGAAAAATAGAGACAAAACATGGAATTATATTAGACCTTTTTTCTCTGTGATATATTTTTACCTGTTTACAGCTGCTAATCAGGTGGAATACTTCCTACAGTATTTCAGTAGTATTTCAGACAAACATGCTTTCCTTTTAGTAGCTCTTTTGAAACCGTACTGAACTGACTTAAGTTCATATGATGCAGTGTAGTGCTGATAGCTTGTTTAGATGAGCAGGCTTTTTGTGGTTTGCAAGAAAAGATAATCTCAGATCTTAAACCAGTTGAAAGTCTTGCACTTGTTTGGATCCTGATAAGTGCCTATCCATAGCCATTTTTCTCTAAAACTTAAAAAAACCCAACTTTATTTAAGATCTGAGTCTAGTTAGGTGGGAGAAGTCTACCACAGCAGCTCATATTCTTCTCCCAGCATGTGAGGGGTTTTTTGGTTGGGTGGTTGTTGGTTTTGGGTTTTGTTTGGGTTTTTTTTTCCCCAAGGCCACTTAGGAGAATACTGCCACTTATACTTCAGGCTAATGTGTAGGGACTGGGAAACCATACAAGCATTAGGAGGACATAACCCTGAAAAGCTTTGGGGTAGGCAATACCTGCCACTCAGTGGAAGTACACAAACATGGAGTGGGACAGGCAGAAAGATATCCAGCTGACAGTGGTGACCTTGCTGTGGATTAATCAGCTGGCTTTGGAAAGTGAGTACACAGCACATGAAGAATAGTGATGGCAAACAAAAACAAAATCTAATAAATTAAAAGTGAATGGCACCAAGCTGACAAACCTGTCTTGCAAAGCTCAGTGCACATCACCAGTTAGCAGACTTCAGCAGATTGGTTTGTCTTCATTTGTTGGTAGAAAACAAGCTGTCACATTTTCTAAGGCAAAAGGCTTTTAAAATGGCTTTTCCTGGTTTCATGCTCCGTAATGGGAAGTAATATATCAGATGTTGTACTTATCTGGGACTGAGGTTCTACAGCCAAAATGAAAATCTGATTTAAAGAATACTTGCTTTATTGTGTTAGTGTGAAGGCAGCTTCATGTGCAGAGAAGCTGGATGATTGGTAATGGTTATGGTCACATTTGGCTTTTGTTAGCTCTAGAAATACTTAGCTTTACATAGAACTGTGAACATGTAAGATTTTGCAGAGAATGGCAAAAAAGTTTCTCTTCCCATTTCTACCTGTTTGTTTCTTGTAAATATTTGCTCATCATGGTATTGCTAGCTTTCATTATTAAAATAAGAAAAACCTGAATTTGAGATTATCTCATCCAAGCCTGTCAAAACATATCATTGTAAAGGTGTGGCATATTCCTTTCCAAATTTCTTGTATTTAAGTTATTTTTTGTTAAAGAACTTTTCTACTACTCCACATGCTGAAATCGGAGCTCTTTAAAGATTTAAATACAAATTTACAAACTTGTTTGAGCCTTCAGGATTCCTCTCCATATTTTCTCGTGTATCCAGTTCTAAGGACCCATTCCTTAAGAAATAAGTATGTTACATGACTCCACCTGCAGTGAGGCAGGCAGGTTCAGTCCCTGTCTCTTGCAGCAGTTCTACACCAGCAGTTCTTGTCTATCTGGCATGGAGCAGCAGGACTGATGTATAGCCTGAGCTATGAAAACTTGATAATGAGCAATAAGCATTAACTGCTTTCTCATTCAGTTGTCCAGGAGGTTTCTATGCAGTAAACCAGAAACTGATTATCAATCCTCTGCCCACCCTGCGTTTAATCAGGTCTGTCTATCCCTTGTTCTCAATGCCTGCACCATCCACTGTACATTTGGGAAGAGGGGAGGAAAAGGAAATCTCACTGTGATTTGTGTCTCTTGAGTTACTCTGTGTTAACAAAATATACTGGAATAACAAATCTTTCATCAGAACACTGGCAAAGTTTATGTTGACTGTCTTTTGGAAGAAAAGGTTTTAATTGAGCTTTTGACTCCTTTCAAAAGAGCAGGAAGAGGCAGATCACATATTAAATATGTGGCACTGAATTGTTTAACTATTTCTTGTAGACATTAATGAATGTGTAACAGATACGCACACCTGCCAGCGGAGAGAGCACTGTGTCAACACAATGGGATCATTCAAATGTCTCCAGGAATTGAGCTGTCAGCTAGGTTATGAATTTAAGGATGGAGAATGTGTTGGTAAGACAAGTCTTTTTCAGCTGATGGATTGCTGTTACCAAAAAGGAAAGGAAAGGGATTGCAAAACCTTTCATTGTTGCTGGTCTGTGATATCAGGGTTGCAACTAAAAAAGGCTGATCATCATGGAAATGTTTGGCTTCATAGGCCCCTTCTGTACATTCATATATTTGAAATCGTTTCCAGCAATAACTATAAATTACTTGGAAAATAGATTAAACCTTGTGAATTAGGATTTACCCTGGTTTTAAGGCATTGAAGAGAGATCTCACTGATGGAGAAATTATGCTTCTCTGCCTAGCTCTGCTTTTCTGTAAAGGGGCTGATCCTGTTGGCTGTTGAACACTGAATCACAGCCTGAATGGATCATGGGGCTGCCTCAGTCCGGTCCTTGCTGTGTTTAGGAGGGCTCTTTGCATTTATTTACATTTGGAATGGTCATGGGTTTGAGAAGTTATTCTTCATCTCCCCCTTCTTGGTCTATATAGAGGTCTAACAGAGAAGCTGACCTCAGTAGTCACAGCATAGCATAAGTTGCTCTGCAGCACGGGGGTATGCAAGAGAAACATGTGCCCAGCCTTCCAGGGCATAAGTCAGTGTTATTTACTCCTAAATTTTTTATGCAAAGAGTTTCCTGACAGCTGAAGTAAGAGATGCCTAAGGAACAAACTTAGCTCTTGACATAGAACATAAAGTTATAAAATAGACATTATCAGAAGTCTCACTTTATATACAGCTGTCATAAGTAAACCTTGGTTTACTTGAAGAGGCTGTTTGTGAATGTCTTGTTCTGTTTTCTGATTCTATAGCATTTCTAACATTTATTGCTAATTGAAATTGCTTTCTAGTCTTAAAGTTAGGTTAAAACAGATTATAAAGTTTAGAAATTGGTTTAAAGTTACCTTTAAATAAATGACTTATAAGAAAGACTAAAATTTCAGAACTAATCTGTGTAAAATTGCCCATGGTTAACTATTGAATTTGCAGAGGTTTATGAAATACTCAACTCCATATTTTCCTTTGTCTCAGTCTATAAATAGCATAGGAAGACTTATTTTAATACATTACCTTCTGGCAGACTGGTGATGTTCTCTCATGACCTTAATGTTTAACTGGGCAGTTAGAAAAGAAAGAGAAGTGCCAGCAGGTCAAGGAAGGTGATTCTGCCCCTGTACTCCACTCTGGTGAGACCCCACTTGCGGTGCTGCGTCCAGCTCTGGGGCTCGCAGTACAAGAAAGACACGGACCTGCTCGAGCAGGTCCAGAGGAGGCCACAAAGATGATCAGGGGGCTGGAGCACCTCCCCTGTGAGGACAGGCTGAGAGAGTTCGGGTTGTTCAGCCTGGAGAAGAGAAATCTCTGGGGACACCTTACAGTGGCCTTCCAGTGCTCAGAGGGGCCTATAAGAAAGATGGGGGCAAACTTTTAGCAGGGCCTGTTGCAATAGGACAAGGGGTGATGGTTTTAAACTAAAAAAGGGCAGATTTAAACTAGATATAAGGAAGAAATTTTTTACAATGAGAGTGGTGAAGCCCCATCCCTGGAGACATTCAAGGTCAGGTTGGACAGGGCTCTGAGGAACTTGATGTAGCTAAAGATGTTCCTGCTCACTGCAGGGGGCTTGGACTAGATGACCTTTAAAGGTCCCTTCCAGCCCAAACCATTCTGTGATTCTCCCCTTATCTGCCTGGAGGAGTGGAGACGATTCAGTTGTGGAGTTTCCTCTGTTTGTCTTTATCTTCTAGTAAAGATGTTCATCATAGGGCGTGTTCTCAGGAACCAGCGCTTGTGTTCTCAGGAAGCAGCATTTGAGAACATTCACAAGAACTGAATTTCGACCGTTTTTATAGCTGAAGTCTGTTCCTGGGTGGGGTTTCTTCAACTGTAAAATGGAAGCAGTGCCACTATACCAGCTGATCCTTGCAGTTACCCAACACAGATCAGATGGATGTAAATTTATAAGTCTGTTTTCAATGTACCTAGGAAGTAAGCATTAAGTTGGTGAACACAATTTGAGAAATAATTTCATACACATAGTAAGAAATGAGAAAGCTATGTTGAGCTCTGGCTGTGGAGTAAAAAGCAAAATTTGTTACTGATATTACTACCTCTTGTTCAGATTTTTTTCAGAATAGTTTTTGGAGTTGAATGTTTGGTCTGTGTACGTAAGTAAGTGTAGATATAAACATGTGCCTGTGTGCACAGTGGAACCCAGACCTGTTCAAATGAGGTGCCCTATTAGTATCAAATTCAGTGGAGGCAGGTTTCTACCTAGAATTCCTGAGGTCTATAAGGAATGGGAGACCATTTTGCGTTTGAAAGAGAGTGGTATGCATTTTATTATGTGTACCTTATTCTTAGTTTTAATTTCATAGAATCACAGAATGGCAGGGGTTGGAAGGGACTTCTGGAGAACATCCAGTCCAATCCCGCTGCTAGAGCAGGTTCACCTACAGCAGGTCACCCAGGACTGCATCCAGGTGGGCTTTGAATGTCTCCAGGGAAGGAGACTCTACAACCCCCCTGGGCAGCCTGTTCCAGGGCTCTGCCACCCTCAGAGTAAAGAAGTTTTTCCCCATGTTCAGGTGGAACTTACTGTGTTCCAGTTTGTGCCCATTGCCCCTTGTCCTGTCACTGGGCACCACTGAGAAGAGCCTGGCCCTATCCTTTATACACCTGCCCTTTAGGTATTGATAAGCATTGATAAGTTCCCCTGTCAGTCTTCTCTTCTCCAGGCTAAAGAGCCCCAGGTCTCTCAGCCTTTCCTCATAAGAGAGTGTCTTTAGGATTTTGAAACTGTAGATGTTTCAGTAGTTGTAGTTTGCAAGAGATGCTGTGAACAAGGCAGTAGGGACCTGAATCAAATTTGCTGCAGGAACTGACAAATTGTCAAGTGTATGCTGAAGTGGACATTCAAGAGCAAACACACGTAAACCTCAGATTTCCCATAGGTGATGTTGGGTGTCTGGTTTAAATGACGCTTCCTATCTTCCTTTCTGAGCAGTTAACTAGTCATGAAAACTACTGAAAATTACAGCTCAACTAGTCACCATTTGGTGTTTTGATCTGTTTAACAGATTTTGATGAATGTGAGAGAGGAACTCACAGTTGTAAAGTAAACTTCATTTGTCAGAATACTGAAGGATCATTCTACTGTGAGTCAAAGCAACGCTGCATGGATGGATTTTTACAAGACCCTGAGGGAAACTGTGTTGGTAAGTGTGACCAGCACTGGCCAACTTCTGCTCCTTTTAGCCTGTCCAAGGGGTGTATATTTGCCACGCATAGTTTTCCTCAAAGCCTGCTGTGAATTTAATTTAAACATTGCTGTCCTTTTAAAGATATGCATACTTGTATATTGAATTTGAAAGTGTTACCACAGCAGACCTTCATCAGCCTTATCTTTGTGGCACAATAAATTGAAACGAAGGGAAAAAAGTGACAGCTGGAAGAAAACAGACTAGAAAGGTTAAATAGCTTCTCTCACTATTCTAATTCATTTTCTTTACTAGATATTAATGAATGCACATCTCTCCCTGAGCCATGTAAACCAGGATTCAACTGCATTAATACTGTTGGGTCTTACACCTGCCAAAGGAACATGCTGACATGCAGCAGAGGCTACCACTCCAATGAGGAGGGAACACGATGCGTCGGTAAGGTTGTCTTCCAGTGTCTGGTCAGGTGCCCTCTCAGAGAAAAAAGTACATTTCGATTCTAAAAAGAGGTTTTGAGTTACCTCCAGATTCCTAAGTGTATTTGAGGAATGGGAATTTGCTGCATGCATTTGCTGTCCAAGCAGCGCAGTGGTTTGTTTGCACTGTAGGATGCTGCGCTGGTGTCTCTCTGGTGCATGGAGTTTCTCTTGGTACGTCGGGTGACGTTGGTTTTGGCTGCGTATGGGATTTACTGGCTTCCATTCTGGAGTAAATGTGATTTGATTACTTCTTAAACTCATGCTGTCAGTCAAAACCACGATCCTTTTCTATTTTTTACAGTATCTCACTGTAAGTGATAGGATCTGAAGCCATGGGGTGCACCAAATGAGAAACACTGAGTTTGTGTACTCACAAGAGTAGTACTGAGTGGATGTTCTTTACAGCGCTATGAGTGGTGTTCCCCATTTACATCCAGTTGTGGGTGTGTTTAGGATAAATTCTTTCTTTGTGGAAAGAATGTTGAAATATTCATATAGGCTGGCATGCAGCTTGATACTGATTTGTATTTGTTCCAGTGTGTTTATGGAGTTACTGACTCAGAATAGCAGATTTCGTCTCTTACTAGCATTTGTTCTGTAAATGAGACACTAGGCATAAAGGGATTGAAAGCTTGGTTCTTGGTGCTCAAGGCAATGCTGGCTCTGTATTCTTCAATTGCCGATGCTCTGTGTTACATGAAGTAGGAAATCATAAAATGATAGCAGGGAGGAAAAAGAAAAAAAATTTTGTTAGTGATGGTATCCTAATGATTTCTACTTACATTTCCTTTGAATAAAAGGAAGGATGAAAAATAAACAAAATATGCTTTGGGGTGCTAGAAGTGGGTGGAAGCTTTGTTGGCAGCTATTAATTTGGTCATGACTAGCAACTTGTAGTGAAAAATAGTGGTATATATAGGCCCCATTTCCACATAAATTTCTGTGTTCTCCTTTTTGCCTTTCATTACACTCTATCTTCCTTCATGATTCTACCCTCAGGACAATCCAGACCATACTTGGCCAGTGAGAAGGTGGGGAAGATTTGGAAGTAGCAGAAGATGGGGACAGTTTATGTGCGTAACTGAGAACATTGAGAAAGCTCCCTAATACAGCTCTAGAGGGGTGTGTTTCCTAAATTCAGGGCAAAGTAGCGCAGTCTCATTTGCTGTCCTATTATATGGCAGCCTGAAATATTTCAGTGGTTATGAAGGGAGGATCCAAAAGTCCTGTCTGTCTTAGTTGCTATAAAGACACTGTTCTTCAGCTAGTTTCAATCAGACCTGTTTCAGCAGTGTCAACTGGGCTAGGTATGTTTGCACCACCTGAAGCGTGGCGACCCTGAAATTGTTTTTAGGGTTACCACCGTGCCAACGTCTCCATGAATGCCACTTTTTTCACAAGTCAGCAGTCACCACTAGCAGCTCATAAGTCCTGGCTGTAGTGCTAACGACCTCCATTTTCGAGCCCTGCTAAAGGCTGGGGCAAATTATATTCCTAAATTTCAAACTGATGAAAGAATCCAGCATTTTTTCTCCAGTTGTTTCTAAAAGAGAGTGACTGAGTGTAAATATGTGACAGAGGAGGAAGTTGCCATTATTCATACAGCATTTCTATCTTTAAAGCATGATGAGATAATGCAATGCATTGTAATTACTGATGACACTTTGCCTCTGCTTTACATGATTGACAATGCTTTTAAGGAGCAGGTATAAGGAAGCTTCTCTAGTTTGATTTTGGGAAAACAAATGTTTAATGTAAATTGATGATTTCTCTGTCTTTGCTGTGTGCACTCTGTGGTCTATATTTTTTGGTATTTTTTTGGAATGACTTTCTTTAGGTAGGCAGAGAGCGTGGAGAAGAAAAAAGAAAAGCATATGGTCCTAATTTCCCCCTCTATGATAAAGACTAGTTTCTTTAAGACATTACAATAACTAATTAGATTCCTGATTCAGATTTATTGACAGTAGTAAATACATCATCTGCACATATTTCTCTAGCAGAACTACATATGTATGATCATCTTCTTGGTTTAGAGGATTCATCTCTCTTTAAAATGTTCATATTTTGTGATTTAGTAAATGAGTTATGAAAAACTACCTCTTACATTTAAGTGTAACGACTGTGAAATACAGCACGATTCTGACAGCAGAATGCCCTAGAACCAATTAAAGCCTGAAGGCAATGGAACATATTATTTTGAACAAAAAAAATGAAATGGTTGCACACATGAATTCATTGCAAATAAACCTGCTACTTTACAAATTTGCATCTGCATTTGCAACTTCCTTATTTTGATGCTACCTCTGATCTTAAAAGAAAATGAGAAGACAGTGTTTCAGCAGAAATCTCTGAGCCTGTCAGGAGTTCCTTGTTTGGCAAGTGGCGTTCCCTGCCACCCCTAATCCCGGTGCCAGCAGGGACTGTGTAGCTGGGAATCTGTGCTGAAGTATTGAAAAAGCGTTTGTTAACACCTCTCATCAGGATTGATATGTTCTCCACTTTTCCAAATCCAAATTTCTGTGATACATAACTTGCTCTCACTTCCCTGTAATTTTCTTAGCAAGTGACTGGTTTCCTTAGCATTCTCCAGGGCTTTCATTTGATGGAGAACTGTCCAGGAACCCTTTGAAATGAGATAGTGCTCAAATTTAGGTCTTCAAACAGGGCTGTATGAAGAACCTCCAGCCTTAGACTGCCATCCTAATTAATATTACATGAACAGGGATTTGGGCTGTGAAATTAGTTGAAGGTGTGAATAATAAGGAGGAAGCAGGATCTGATGACTTAGAAAATGACAGAACTCAGAGTATTTGAAGAAAGACAAGTTTCTGAGGGTTAATCAGACTTTTTGATGCTTCTTATCACAGTTGGTAACAGATTTGTTAGATACTGATGAGCTATTTAGTCGTGTTGCATGTCTTGTAAATCAGTGTGTATTGAAAACTTTCATCTTCATCTCAGGGTTTTTAAAATGAGATTGGAAGTGATGCGTGAGAGTGAAGAAGCAACTAATTTGTCGGTATTAGATTTTGGATGAGAGGCCATGAGGAATATCAAAATATGAGTTGATTGAGAAAAGAAAAGATCAACATTGAGAAAGAGCAACAGGTAGACAGCAGAAGCAAGATTGAAAGGGCAACTGGAGATGAAAATAGCTATTGCTTTAATTGAGGGGATGAACAGAATTTCTGCTAGTTCTTATTTTACTCTAAATGGCTTGCCATGACTCACGTAATGGCAGAACATCAGAATAGAGTGTTTAAATGTCATGGTTTGATCAGAATCAAAATGTGTTTACATTGAAATGCAGAATGTGCTGGGAAAGCTCCATTGCAGTTACAGTTACCAGTTTCACTGTTAAGATCATGTATTGCTTTTCAAAAGTTTGACTTAAAAGATGTGTAAAGCTGACTCTGAGAAGAGCAGAGTGGGAAAAGCTGATATTCTCTGTTCTGTTCAGGGGACAACCCTCGCAGTTTCTATTCCTGTTATTTAATTAATTTATTTTTTTCTCTTCATAAACATTGATTTTCAGCAAACTCTATTTAAACTAATTGCTTTCTCTGGTTCTGCAGATGTGGATGAATGTCAAACTCGTGTACACCATTGTGGCGAAGGGCAGATTTGTCATAATCTTCCTGGGGCTTATCGCTGTGACTGCAAGATGGGATATCAGTACGATGCATTCAGCAGAAGCTGCATTGGTATGTAAGGCGTAAGATGAGATGAAATGACTGATTGATTGAGCCTTGGACGTCAAGGCAGTATTTAACACTGTTAAATGTAGTGTACAGTTATTAGCTCTGCAATGCAGTGCCTCAAAAGATAATGGAATTGCCTCCAAAGCAGTTGTCGTTCAGTGCAACTGGCCATTTAGAGCTCTGCCACTCCATGCTGGGATTTCAGACCAGGTGCCCTTGGTTTGATTTAAATTCAGGTTATCAGTTGAAGTCATCTGCAAAGTACTTCCCTATGGGTTACGCTTCTGCTGCTGTAGAAATTTATCTTTCTGCAGATTTCACAACTTTCTTCATAAGAGACTATGATACAGTTTTTTGTATTTGATCACTACTGTACCTCAATTAGAGCACAAAGTCAGACAGCATAAAACCTGAGGTTGCAACATTTCATGCTCTGCAAATCAATCTCTGAAACTTTTCCAAATATCCTGCATCTTGTTTGATGCTTTTGTTCCTAAGTGGATTGTATATTTACTTGTTATGCTGGCAGATATAAATGAGTGCTGGAATTACCCTGGACGCCTGTGTCAGCACACATGTGAGAACACCCCTGGGTCCTACCATTGCACGTGTTCTTCTGGTTTCCGCTTGTCTTACGATGGGAAGCATTGTGAAGGTACCAGACATTTTTCTGTGAAGAAGAAATTGCAGTGTGAATTGAAGGGCTTTAGAGAAAGAGTTGAGGTGAAATGTAAATACAGTAAACCCATTATTTATGTGTGCTCAAGTTTGCAGATACTCAATCGAACACTCAAACTGTCAGATGAGAGCTGACAAGTTTCTCCTATTTCTTCCTTTCCTTCACATACTTTTTCCTTTCCTTCCAGATGAGAAAAGGGAGTTAGGATAGGAGATTTTCATTCAAATTTTAATAAAGGTGAAACTTGGTAGTGACAAAACTTGAAAGAATAGATTTTGAATTGAATGGGATTTTTTTAAGGCAATGATATTTTTAAGGCAGTGATTACATATATTTAATCAACTGTAACATATAAGGTCTGAAACATGTGTTTGCTTATGTATGTGTTTTCATTGGCATATACAGAAATGAAATCCAAGTGCAACAGGTATCCTCACACTTGAGACAAATTACTCCATCCTTATTCACTCTGACCAGAAGGATCTGGTAGCTGTTCAGAGGCAAGAAAGATACTGTTCTGAACCATTGTGACAATACCTGTGGTTTGTTTTTGGATACAGATGTGAATGAATGTGATACTAGTCCCTGCAGCCAGGAGTGTGCCAATGTTTATGGTTCCTACCAGTGTTACTGCAGGCAAGGTTTCCAGCTAGCAGAAGATGGGCATTCTTGTAAAGGTAAGGCTGCTGCTTTGTCAGGTCAGGTGAAATATGTGTGCAGTCTTTAACAGTCAGGGCCGTCTAACTCTCAGCAGCACCTAATGCTGCTAGTGGTGCCTAAGGATGGCTGTGAGTTACACCCTGCTGCAGAAGCTGTGGAAGGTAACACTAGCTATTGGAAAATGCAGTTTCTTTTCATGCCTCCTACCTGGGGCTGGAGTACACTCGTGTGACCATAGAACTGGGGAGTTATTGTTTCATGGGGCTAGAGCTTATGATGGAAAAAATTAGAAAGGAAGATTTGTTTACCTGTATTACTTCAATTAAAGTTTCCACTCAGCCATGGTTGAGTGAAGGCTTGCTCTTCTGCTGGTGGTGGGTGAATGAGGAGTGATCAGAATGGAGAAAGGAAGGGTTTTACCTGTTTTCTTGAAGTTACCCATACTGACACACTGGAGAGTCTCTATTTAAGAAGTGGGGAAGAAACCCACCTTCTTCCTAGCACAAGGAAACCCCCAAAGCAATCCCAGAAGAATTACAGAGGTACTAGAGAGAGCTTGTCGAACTCAGATGTGCTCTGGACTTGTTCTTTTCCATGAGTCCATACTACTCACAACCAGTATTACTGGAAACAGTCTTGTGTTCAGCATTTCAGAAAGCACCGTCAACAGTCCTAGAGCAATGCCAAAATTTCATGGTTACATTCTTGTTTAGGAACATATTATAAATGCATCAGATAAGAATTTCCTCGTGTTTTACAGCCTCCCTTTTCAGATTTCTGTTTTTCTTTTTTTCATATGTTTTTAATTGTGATTTTTTTCCCCAGATATTGATGAATGCATGCAGAGTGCAGGCATTCTTTGTACTTTCCGCTGTGTGAATGTTCCTGGTAGTTACCAGTGTGCCTGTCCTGAGCAGGGATATACCATGGCAGCAAATGGAAGAACCTGTCGAGGTAATGAGGAGTTTAGGAACTGAAAGGATTATATCATGAAGCTTTAATCCTTGGAATGATCTAAGCCATTATGCTTATTCAATGAAGCCTCCATTTTCTATATTAGTCACTGTTAAAAAGCCAGTTTTGACAAAGTTGCCAAATATTGGTGTCTGCTTTGTCAGCTTTTTCCTGTGTTAGAAAAAAGTACTGGGGCAGCTCAGCTGTCACTGTGAGGTAACTGTTAAAATTAATTCCTAAAGGAGCCCACTCCATCATTCAAACTGGGGCATTTGATTACTTGCATGAGCTATGTGGGCACCTTGGCACAGCAGTAAGTGATCTGGTTTTTTAGAGGTGCCGGATGTAGAAATCCATGGCTTTATTATGAGTTGCAGTTTCCTGCCCCAGCAAACTGGGACAGAAAATGTGAGAGCCATAATGGGGACTTGGACATCCAGAAGTCTACCACCTAAGCTTAAATATGTTGGCATTAGTAACTGTTAGTGTAAATAACATGTATCCTGCCCCTACACACACCTTTTCTCCAGAATCAAAGAAGTGTCTTCTGGGTATCTGGTGGTTTTCATCTGGTGCACAGCTGTCTGCTTTTGAAGTAAAAATCACCCACTTCCAAAGGATGCGCTGACTGTGTAATAGTGATTGAAGATCTGATTACTTTTACGAACTCTACATGCATTCCTGAAACACTAACTACCAGGCATTTCCTGCTCTGAGTTTTTCAGAGACCCTTCATATAACTTTTGTTTATGTATCTCCTATGCTTAAATTCTCTTCCTAGTGGTAATGGAAGTGAATTTGCACTGTGTAAATCATGAATGGCATGAGCATACTTGATCCTGACTTTGGAGCAGAGAAACAGACTAAATGAAAATTGAAATACTTTTAAAAGCTTTTTTTTTTAGTGTATTTTTAAGTATGACTTCAGAATGCAGTTATATGTTCAGAATGCATTTAAATTCTTACATAAAAGTCACCTTTAGGAAAGTGCAGCTATTGCTCTCCTTGGGCTTTTTTTGTTGTTTTTTTTCCTGC